TAAGGATCAGAGCAGTACCTGAGATTGAGAAAGAGAGCCTGGTAGACTTCTTGACACAAGAATTTGCCAACTTTTGGCAATTGAATGATAAGGAAGATTTCAAGATAACGTCTGCTTTTAGGCTTGGAAGAAGAGCAAGGAAAAATAGAGTGAGAGACTGCCTGATTACCTTGCGATCAAAGGAGGAACGAGATAAAATTTTGAGCCTACATTATCGAAATACACTGATAATACAAGACTCAAGGATAGAAATATTCAAAGACATTCCAAAGCTCCTTTTGGAGCTTAGGTCTAACTATCGGGACCTGGTGACGTTGCTGAGAGGTAATAGAATTTTTTTCAGGTGGGAGTTCCCTCAAGGCCTATCTTTCAGTTTTAAAGGCAAGAAAATCAAAATAAAATCTGTGGAGGAGAAACAGAACTTTTTGAGAGACCACCAAGAGGACCTACAAAAAGGATTGGGGGAGGAGCCAGAAGCCCCTTTAACAGGATTGGATCCTACATTACCACCGTTGGGAGAGGATAAGACAGAGAAGGCGAAACCACCAACAGAGGAAGAAGAGTTATTGGGAGCAGTTGGAGGGAAATAAAGAAATCATCATGGCTCTGCAACTTTTAACTTGGAATGTTTGTGGCCTGAATTCTCCGGAAAAAGGAGGAAAGTATTTCATATACTTAAAGAACAATTGGACTTAATTTGTTTACAGGAAACCCATGTGATGAGGCTTCACAGGAAAATATTGATTAATAAGAGACTGGGCCAAGAATTTATTTCATCAGACAAAGTTAAAAAACGAGGAGTGGTTATTTACGCAAAGGAGAGCCTCTCACCAAAATTTGTTTTTAAGGATGAACAAGGAAGGTTCATAGCAATTGAAATTCAAGTACAAGGAGAAAAATTTTTGATAGTAGGTGTATATGCACCAAATGAGGGGAAATCTATATTTTACAAAAAGTTGCATGAGATCTTGATGGACTATATGGACTATAACACTGTTTTCATGGGAGATATGAATGGGGTGGTTTCTACAAATATGGACAAGTCACAAAGAGAGGTAGTTACTAAAGATGGTAGACTACCGAAAACATTCTTTGAACTAACTGACAATATGGATTTGATTGACATTTGGAGAACTAAGAACCCCTTGATAGAGAAGGAACCTTCTTTTCTGAAGCCCAAAAGACATGGACAAGAATTGACCAAATCTGGACTACTAGAGGACTGGCACCCAAGGTTAAGAAGGTAGAGATCTGCCCAAAAATATGCTCCGACCATAACGCCGTGAGAATGGAGATGAAGTTAACATCTATTGGTTCCTTCCGATGGAGGATGAATGACACCTTGTTTAGAGATCAAGAGGTGATTAAGAAGGCCCAAAAGACATTGAGGGACTATTTTGAGATAAACTTGAATACAGCGGGAGAAAGAAGAGTAATCTGGGACGCAAGCAAAGCTGTTATGAGGGGCTTCCTGATTCAACAGAATTCAATTAAGAAGAAGGCCCAAAACGTAAAGAAAGAAAAAAATTCTGGAAAAAATAAAGGAGGGCGAGAAGAAACTGAGAGTGAAGCCCAATTCACAAGAGATTCTGAGGGAAATAAAATTGCACCAAGTGCAATATATGAAATTGATAAATCAAGAAGTGGAATGGAAAATTAAACAAATGAGACAAAAGACTTTTGAATCGGCAAATAAATGTGGGAAATTGCTGGCTTGGCAGTTGAAGAAACGACAAAAACTTAATACTATTACTAATTTGGAAGTGGAAGGGAAAAATATCCAGAATCCAGAAGAAATTAGGAAATGCTTCCAGAGATATTTTAAACAATTATACACACAAGGGCCTCAGAAAGAATTTGAGATAGAGCAATTTTTGAAAACCAATGGATTACAAAAATTTCTCAGGATAACAAGATATTGTTGAATTATAAAATTACAGAACAGGAGGTTGAAGGTGCCATTCAGAATATGCAGTTGGGAAAATCTCCAGGACCGGACGGTTTAACCTCAAAATATTACAGAACTTTGAAAGACTGGTTAATTCGACCATTAACTGAGGTTTGTAATGAAATTTTAGAGGGGAAAAGAGCGCCAGAGTCGTGGAAAGACGCATTTATTACACTTATACCAAAGGCTGAGACTGAAAAGACACAGCTTAAGAACTACCGGCCCATATCCCTGTTAAATGTGGATTACAAAATTTTTGCTGACATCTTAGCAAAAAGGCTTAAAAAGTGCTAAAAGGAGTGATTCACAAGGACCAAGCCGGCTTTCTTCCAGATAGACATCTTTCGGACAACACAAGGAACATAATTGATATTCTGGAGAAGCTGCAAGAGGAGATCAATACTAAAGCAGTTTTGATTTTTGTGGATGCAGAGAAAGCCTTTGACAATATTTCTTGGAGTTTTATGAAGAAAAATCTTCAGGGGATGGGGGTAGGCCAAGAGTTTGAAAATGGTATAAATGCAATTTATTCAGAACAAAAAGCTAAATTAATAGTTAATAATGTGATAACAGAGGAAATTAAGATAGAGAAAGGGACACGACAAGGCTGCCCAATTTCCCCATTACTTTTTATTTCTGTTCTGGAGGTTTTGTTAAATATGATAAGAAGGGACCATTTGATTAAGGGTATAACGGTCGGAGCGAAACAATATAAACTGAAAGCATTTGCAGATGACCTTGTACTGACATTACAGGAGCCAGAATCTAGTACGAAAAGAGCATTAGAACTGATTCAAGAGTTTGGTCAGGTGGCAGGTTTTAAGCTGAATAAGTTTAAAACTAAAGTACTTGAGAAGAATTTAACACCGATTGAAAAAGAGAGGTTTCAGAATGAGACAGGTTTAACAGTGGTAAAAAAAGTGAAATATTTGGGGATTCACATGACAGCTAAAAATGGGAATTTATTTAAAGACAATTATGAAAAGTGTTGGTCGGACATTAAAAAGGATTTAGAAATATGGACAAATTTGAAGCTTTCCTTGTTAGGTCGAATTGCTGTCATCAAGATGAATGTATTGCCAAGAATGCTGTTTTTGTTTCAATCGATACAAATAATAGACAAAATGGACTGTTTTAAGAAGTGGCAGAGAGATATTTCTAAGTTTGTCTGGCAGGGCAAGAGGCCCAGGATAAAATTTAAAATATTGACTGATGCTAAAGAAAGAGGGGATTTGCCCTGCCAGACTTTAAACTTTATTATGAATCAGCAGCTTTCTGCTGGTTGAAGGATTGGTTACTTCTGGAAAATACTGATGTTTTGGACTTAGAAGGTTTCAATAATGTGTTTGGGTGGCATGCATATTTGTGGTATGACAAGGTTAAAGCTCACAAAATATTTAAAAACCATATTGTCAGGAAAGCATTGTTCAATGTCTGGATAAGATATAAAGACTTATTGGAGAATAAAACCCCAAGGTGGCTATCACCAATGGAGGCAAAGGCCCTAAAAAGTCCAATATGGAGGCCAAGTGGCCAAAATATTGGGAGATCTTGGAACAAGAAGGAGATAAATTCAAATTGCAGAGTTTTGAAAAATTAAAAGATAGAGTGCGAGACTGGTTGCATTACTACCAAATAAGAGAGGTCTATAATTTGGATAGAAAAATTGGCTTCCAGGTGGAAAAATCAAAGTTGGAAACAGAACTGCTAGATCCCAAAACTAAAACACTTTCAAGAATGTATAACTTGCTGCTAAAATGGAATACTCAGGATGAAACGGTAAAATCTGCTATGATTAAATGGGCACAGGATGTTGGACATAACATTATGTTTGCTGACTGGGAACGGTTATGGACCACAGGTACGAAGTTTACAGCATGTAATGCTTTAAAAGAGAATATAATGAAAATGGTGTACAGGTGGTACATGACCCCAGTCAAGCTTGCAAAAATCTACCACTTGCCCGATAATAAATGTTGGAAATGTAAGGAAACTGAAGGTACATTCTTTCACCTTTGGTGGACGTGCCCAAAGATCAAGGCCTTCTGGGAAAGGATATATAATGAGTTGAAAAAGGTATTTAAGTATACCTTTCTAAAGAAACCAGAGGCCTTTCTCTTGGGCATTGTTGGCCAATTGGTGCTAAAGAAAGACAGAACTTTCTTTATGTATGCAACAGCAGCAGCAAGGATACTCATCGCAAAGTATTGGAAGACACAAGATTTACCCACTCTGGAAGAATGGCAGATGAAGGTAATCGAATATATGGAACTGGCGGAGATGACTGGCAGAATCCGTGACCAGGGAGAAGAGTCGGTGGAAGAAGATTGGAAGAAATTTAAAGACTATCTACAGAAATACTATAAAATTAATGAATGTTAAATTGAGGTCTGATTGAAAATAACTGGTATTGGCAAAAGCCTTGTGATTAAGAGCATGGAATATTTGATCGATAAAGTTGTAATATTTATATATAAATAGATTAACTTTTTGAGTTAAGATAAAGAAAGGAGGGTAAGGATTTGCTGAAAGGAGTTCTTAAATGGAAATACAAGCGGGGAGATGTGGGGAAGTCAAAGAATTAGGTAATGATAAGAAGGTTAAATGAAAGTATAATACTTTTTAAATTTTTCTGTTTCTTTTTCTTTTTTTTCTTTTTTCTTTTTTTGTTATGGATATTGTTATCTCTGTTTGCTTTTTGTTATTGTTATTGTTGTTTTCTGTTTGTCGAATTTTTGTATTTTTGCATCTTTTGGAATTTTTTTCTGTAAAACCAATAAATATTATAAAAAAAACAA